TATGGACGACGCGTGCCTTGGGGAGGTCCAGATTTGCATGACGAGCAGGACATCTTGAAATTTGAGCGAGCGGAAGACGATTGGCACTCAACACCCGCCGGTAACGAACTACAGTTGCCTGACTTAGGACCGTGGTCCCAGTTCTTCACTACCCAACGAGGTTTCGAAAACATCGCCACTTTTAATACCTTCAGCTATGTACCATACGGCTATGCTGTGGTAAGAGTTGACCCGAAAGGTGTGTCGCAGACTCCCGGTACCCGTTGGGTTCCTGGCCAGCTAGCACGCGACTTTCATGCGGCTGTCGAATGGTCTGCTGAGCAAGCGTGGAGCAATGGAGATGTCGCGATGGTTGGAAGTTCGTATGGAGCAAACACACAGTGGGCAGTCGCAGCTTCGAAACCAAAGGGATTGAAGTGCTTTGTCCCTTATGCAAGTGAGTCCCAGTGCTCTCTAGACGTTGTGCCTTCTTGATACGAAGAGCACCTATATATGAACCTCAGCTGAGCAACTGTAGCCGACCTTGATTCTTATCGTGATGCCGCTTGTATTGGAGGCATCCCGTCAAGTAGATATCTGGAGAATTGGTTTGAGCGGGTGCGCGGGGTTTCGCCGAAGTGGAAGGACCATATGGATGTCGAGGGGGCTATGCGGGCCAATCCCATGCACAACGACGTCTGGGGGATGCTCGAGAGCAAACCGGGAGACTCGGCGGAATTGCCATGCTTCCTCGCCGCATCACAGATCTTTATGATCCATGGGCGTGGCGCTTTCGAAGCGTGGATGGTCAGACGCCCGGAGAACACGCACCTTCAGCTGGTCGACTCCAACTACTATTCGTGGCCGAGTCGAGAAACGGCTGCTAAGATTCTCCAGTTTCTAAATCACCATCTCAAGGGGGAAGACTACCTCCCCCCTGAACGAGTGGGTATCCAGGTGCGGCTCGGCTACTGTTCCTGGTACTGGCGCAAAGAACGGAACTGGCCTGTCCCAGGGACGCAATATACGAAATGGTATCTCACTCCTGACAAAGGTTTGTCGACATCCCCTCTTCCGACAGATTTGGCGGAGACACGATTATCATACCAGGCGTGCACGCCTCATACGGGAAAATCTGGTATCAGCTTCAACTCCCCGCCATTTTCAGAGAACGTCGAACTGGCCGGCCATTTTACTGCCCAATTAAGCTTCTCCTCGACGGCACCCGATGCTGATATTGTCGTCTTCCTGTGGGCAGTGGACGAGGCCGGATTCATAGTCCCTTACGGAGCTAGCAGCATTGAACCGGAGCCGATTGCGAAAGGATTCCTACGTGTTAGTCACAGGAAAACGGACGCCCAACGATCCGTGCCATGGCGGCCATGGCACACCCACAAGCAAGAAGACCTGGCACCTCTAGGTGGAACGGAAGACGTGGTGGAAATAGCGGTCGAGATCTTGCCGGCTGCTTGCCGGATTCGGAAAGGTTGGACATTACGCGTAGATATATGTCCTTCCGAGGACCAACCCGATATCCCGGGCTACAAAATGCCGGCAATGCGACACTGGTACGGCGAAACGTGTGATGGAGACGTAGAGGACGCTATTCATGTTGGAGGAAAATGGGTCAATTACATTCTCTGCCCCGTTGTGCCCCTGAGCGAGGACTATCCCAAATGCATTTTGTAGATAATTCCTTATGTTCCGGCACTGCCGGCGATGGACGTACGAAACAAATTGGTCATCTGTCACCTACTATAGGTATTCATTTATAACAGCAAGAGTTAAAGCTAAAATGGAATAAATTTCGCAAATCTTTCGAGCTCCTAGTGCTGCCCGAGATGTAGCAGTATAGATGTAGCACGTAGGAAGTTGATAATGAAGATATTGAGTGTTAACCTCCGTGGTAAGAATGGACAAACAAACAAACACAGGAAACAAAAATCCACTAGTACAAATGTGGAAATCTTCCGAACCACCACTCAAACCCCTGAACCCCTGTTACCCCATCGTCCGTCCGTGAACTCCGCGCCGTGTGAAGGCTCACGTGCCGATAAGTAGCCGCTTGATGATTAGGTAACTGGAATTGAGTCATGGCGCTCTCACGTGATGTTTCCCGGTCATTCCGCGATACGCTCTGCATCTCCTCTCTTCAACATACACGTACGTTATAGCAGAATAAGGAACATTTGGTTCCCCGTTGCTCTTCCTTGTCATCTACATCGGTCGATAATGTCTAGGAATGGAGGAATGTCGACGCCCAACTCTCCGATCTACTGGACACTAGGGAGGGCCCCAAACGCCTGTTTGAACCCACCGAACCGGGTCTGCGATCGATGTATCCGGTGAGTGCCGGTTTCCTGATTGAGTGTGCCTATATTGACACAATAAGGAAAAAAATTAAATGTACGAAATTAAGCTCTCCTGGTCCAACGGGGATGGATCGCTGACTAATCATATTGCCCCTTGTTAGGCGATTTGAAGCGTCCAAGGTGCTCGGCATGCTCTGAATCCGGATTGAGTTGCGCGTACTCCCAAACCCGTAGGAAACCCGGCCCGGTCCGGGGCTCGCGCCGACGGGCTCAACATCAGCTAGCATCTCCCTTAGACACGGATTTATCGGGATCCAATGAGAACGGCGATATGGTGGGATTGATTCCCGGACCCGGACCAGGTAACTCTCTAATCTTCCAGATGATTTCTACGAGTGAAGATGTTCCAAACCAATTTTCGGCGTCGGATGAGACCGTTCTTCCTTCCTCCTGCGAACCGAATCTGCAAATGCAATCCATGGCGCCGATGCTATCGCTCAGTGCTACAGAGTCTCTAGACCTCTATTGTTCGCAGCTCGATGTGGGCCAGCGGCACGACCTGTACGCCATCCACACAGCCGCCTTAAGGAATCTTCCTAACTGACATCGTTAGGGCCAAGAACTTCGCCGCAACAATCGGCACAGCTTTCCCTTTATTCCAACCACAGACCTTTCTCAGCCAGTTAGATGAAGGGGTAATTTGCGATCGCTTGCCATCTATCATCTATGTTATGTCTGCTAGGCTCATGGGCGCCCCTATTCCATGTGGGGATCTAGATATCAATGCAACTCTAGCTTGCTTAGTCAGATCTGCAACGGTCGAGGCCGAGGATGTTGCGAAACCAACAGCACTGAATCAATGGCGGACAGCCTGTCTTCTCGCTTGGTATGGCTTCCATCAACATCCCAGCAAGGGCGATGCCGTTCGCATAGCTGTCTTGGTTCGTAAGGCATATCAGAGTGGACTACACCAGATAGACAGCGAAGAGAACCAGGCTTCATTTGGCTGGAATCTCGTTAGTGAAGAGACTTTAGAGGATTGGCGTCACGTATGGTGGTGTCTCTATTTCCTCGACTGCTACGGGAGTTTCTCGACAGCGACCCCACACCAAGTCGAAACAGAGAGTCTGCAGACGGCGCTACCGAGAGCCCCTCTCTTATCCAACGACACCCAGACTTCTTCTGAAAAGCTCTTCGTGCCATCCGATCGAGCGAGACTTTGGAAAATCGTCCAGGATACCACGAGTATAAAGGGAGATAAGGGGTTTTATTTTCATATGGCAATTAGCACATTGCTTAAAGAGGTTGTGATCGCGAACCGTCTACATAAACAAAACCCTTGTCAATCGATCCGAGAGCGTATGTCGGTTTTGGAAGACCACTTGTCCGCCCTCCAATTGGCCCTACCACCTAACTACATGCGACATACGCGCGATCTACTTGGAGGAGAATCGGAGACTGGCTACCATTCCCGACTGTTTACCCTGTTGAAGATATATAGCATGCGGCTTCTCCTGCGTTTTCCATCTCGTATATCGGATACGGCCCAGTGGCAAGTAGGATGGCAGGAAAACCTTGAGATCTGCTATCGCATGTTCTCCGTCATACAGCAGTGGGATACACAGCACAGCTTAACCGTCGACCCAGCTGTGTGCTTTATCATACTGTCGCTACTTGTGCTTCTACACCTACACAGTTTATCTAGCGGCATATCGAATCCCTCACTGCGTGAGCAGTTGGCTCGTCGCAAGAACATTGTTCGCCTGTTCCTGCAACATTACGCCACCTATTGGACTCTGCCTAGCTTTCTACTTGGTACAAATTTCTCTTTCTTTAGTGGATAAATTCCTATCTCTAACTATCAGATATCTAGGCTGTTACGATGCGTTGTTACGCAAGGTCACAGAACGTCTACACCCAGAAGATATCAACGAGATCGTAAACAGATTTCAGGGGCCGATGCACCAGAAGTGGCTGAATTTCCTGCCTCTTACACCACAAGAAAATACTCTTACCACTCGCGAGTCAGAGTGCCCTGGACTGTCTGCTTCTGTCGCAGAAGTGACTCCTCCCGAACAAGATATATTAACAGACACATTTCAACCTTGGGATGGTTTTATAACCCCTCAAGGGTTGCAATGGTAACACCACGTCAAAGGCCCACTACTTCAGTGGTGGTATTCCGAAATTCATGCTTCAAACGCACCGCAAAGCGCCAAAACCTAGTAGGTTATTTATTCTATTATTTAGTGCGCGAAGAAGACAATTGACCCGCTTAGTAGAGGAACGCGCTAGACCCAGGCGCAACTCACAGATCAGGATTCAGTCTCAGACCGCACGCACTTGGAATCCCACGGAGCACGTTGACTTTATGAATGGTAGCGTTGGAGATCACCTATATTGTAAATTGGATAGGCTAGAAGATGTAGTCACCCGGTCACTTGCCAAAAACAAGTCAGGTAATCGAGTAAAAAGGAATATATTACCTCATAAGTAAACTGCTACACACTTCAGCGCAACATATTTTCCAAGTCTCACAACCGTCCGAAATCGACCGCCATCAGAAGAAAGGGGCTAAGCAAACCAATTACCTAATGGCCATGGTCCTCGCTTATATAATCATGTCAAACATAGGTAGCGCTAACGCTAAGGCATATTAGACAAATTTGCCATTAATATTTTTCATGCAAAATGGAATGAATAGTTCAATCCGAATTGGTGTAGTGGCTAACATTTGGTGCTCTCATGGTGTTTATTCTAATATTCATATGAATATTGGATTGCATGCTGACCCGCCAAGCCCGGGGTTCGATTCCCCGATTCGGAGTCTTTTCACTATCATCCCGTGAATATTTTTTCCCTTGATGGAATACAATGTTCCTACAGTTTTATTTCGATACAAGACATGTCTCTATTAAATATAGGTTAAGGGCCGTATGTAATATTTTTTACGCCCACTCCCTCGTGTCAAACTAAACGGACGCAGGACTCCCTCGCCAGTGTGTGGTGAGAATATGAGGCCAACAGATGACGAAGCTAAGGCTCTAACATGAGACGGGATGAGGTGGAATATGGATGTGAAGAAAACAACACCTCAGAGAAAAGCTGCCATCGTCGCGCTCCTGGCCATCGCGGTCAAATAGACCCAAGAACCCAGTTGACAGCCCTTTCGAGGAAGCCCTAGCTAGCTAGAAATTCTTGGTATATTCTTGGGATTCGAGGATCATAGGGTGATAAAGGTTCAACTCCAGCGGTTTATATTGACTATTCCCAGGGCATCCGAGATGAGAAGTTGAAGAGAACGTCGAAGATTTGGGTCCATGTCGCTTGACGTTAGTCATCCAAAGCAGATACGCAATAATCAGTCGTACTTGACACGGTCTCCATTGCGGCCTCACTCGTCGAAGTTTTAGGACGTAGCCCAGTCGACGGCGTGGGCGGCCTCAAATTCCCAGGGACTCTTCTCGGGTACCACATCTCAACTCGTCATAGATATGACCTATCATCGTCGTGAAATACGCGTATAAGAAGATGACTCACCATAATCAAGACTAAGGGGAACCATAAACATCTGATACCTAACACGATGTCTGGCCTTATCCCTAGTCTGATCCGGTAGTTTGGAACGTTTTATCAAGGCATCAATCGACGAACGTTACCCGTCGCGCACACCTAGGTAACAGCGCAGACGTCCAATCCAAGGCGGCAGCACCGAGGCTCCGGTTCATGATAGAGGCGAATATAACACGTGTAAAGGCGCAGCGGTGAAGCAAGCGAACCCTAGTCCCGTATTATCCCACCTGCATCTCAGTACCGGACACCTATCAAAGTCAAAAGCCAATCTCGACCTTAGGACCAGATGGGACTCGTCCCACGACTTAGAAGATGTAGTCATCTGAAACAAGAGTAGCGTGATGACGAGGCCTCGGTCTCGTTGTTGCGGCAAAAGATCAACGGGTTTGCCGTAGGTGCGGGTATGCATGTAAGTAAGTGTGGTAAGTGTGTGTGTATAAGCTTATAGGCCTAGGTCCGGGCCCCGTTCGTCAGCGAAGCAATATCGTCCAGGATGCATACATATCGGTACGACCAGAGTACACCTGACGGAGGTGGCTGCTAACAAAGCCCTTTTTTCTCTTTCGTATCCGTATTAGCTCGTCCTGCATGGTACGTTCTGGGAATTTCCACGCGAGTCCCATAGCTTCGCAGTTTGGGTCTTGGTGAGCTGTCGTCGTAATAGATGAAGGTGGCGAAGATGGAGGACGGTCAAAGCGAGAAAAAAGAAACAGAAAATATATGAAGTTGGATTAAGCCAAGAATTAGGGGTCATGTGACGGTATGTCAGGGGAACAGCTTCAGCCATAAATGTGGCTGTGTTTTGTGGCATTATGTGGCTCATGCAATGTAAATCATTGGATTGATTGGGTATTGGGGCTGGGAAAAAAATTAATTGGCAATTGCCAATAATTGCGAGAAGGGTGGCGAACCTTCCCGAAATCGTTCCCCGAATTCGTACAACGGGCGTCAGCGGCGGATCGGCGGGTGAGGTTCGCTCCGAGCGGAGGCTGGCGGGTTCATTAAGAAGCTTGAGGCTACTTTTGCCAGCTAGGATAGGCTGGGATATGCCTGGCCGTCCAATGGTTCTTGTGGCTAAGCAAGCCCTAGCAAGCTAAATATGTCCGTAAGGAGCCGTGATCGTCGGCGATGATCGTTATCGTGCAACTGACGGGATAAACACGACATGTGATGCTGTTCCTTGCATCGAATTTCGTCCCGTCCGTTGAGGACTCGCAGTGGTTAGAATACGCATGTGTGCGATAGACATGTAAGTCATGTACGTAAATGTGTATGTATGTAGATTTGCTATTTGCATCGCATCTGCGCATATCGCTACCGGCAGAGCGATATCCGTGTACAACTCGAAGGTGGCGAATGCAGATGCAATTTCCACGTTCTCATACTGATGAAAAATATGGTCAAGCTTATGTTAAGTTGCTTGTTTAGTAGCGCCGCATAGGTCCCGTGGGTATGGTTACTCCAGACATGTTCCTAACCTAATATTCGTCAATGTCGGTTCGGATCGTCAAGGTTCATGGGCTATTATTTTCTTAAAGATCCTAGATCGCACGCCGTTGATTGCCAATAACGTATACTGGATTTTCATCCGGGACCTAATGACGTTTAGTAGCCGGACAATCCACAATTACACTCACCAATTTAGACGATTTAGACGAGGGACCCAAGGGAGTGGATTAGCCTTCATTGGTGGCCATTCATAAAGATTTCTAGTAACCGAATTCACCAAGGACAACAAGGAGAATAGAGATTATAGGATAATGGAATGAACATGATGACGGAACCTGCAGTTAGGTAACACCGGGGCCACAGGGATCGAAGTGACAACGCGTACAAAATACTATTACGCCCACAATCAATAGGTAGCTGTTTCTAGCGATCCCGATGCTATCGATTTCGTATGAAACCGAGGTGCCTTATTCCCAGCGATATGTCCTGGAGGGAAAGTTGCGGTCTGTTAAAGATTAAAACTTGCGACGTCTCTTGTTTACATATCTATCCAAACGGGTGGATGGCTCCCAGCTTGGCGCCTACCCCGACCGGATCGAACCGCTGTAAGATTAGTAGCCCGTCCACGTCTAGGGGCGGAAAGGCGGGACATGACAGGCTTCACGGTTACAGTCGGTGGGTTGGGCATAAAACGTACTCCTTAGTTTCAGGCCGATATGGGATTGGTAATAAATGAGAAACATGCAGAGTGGGTAAACCAGCTGGCTGGCAGACAAGCAGGCAGGCAAGAGGAATTACGCACATCTTGTAGGAGTATGCATCCATCTATGTAATGCGGATCGTGGGGAGCTTTGTGGTTTGTGGTAGTGTGGGAACGATTCCGAGGCAAGTGGGGGATTTTGATCGTTCTCGAAACGATGGTCCCTTGTCGATCTCCCTTTTTTCCCTTGCTATTTCCCACGCGAGCGCCAGAGGGTCTCTAGGAAAAGGAACTAAACTAACTTGAACATCCGTGATCTTAGTGAGCTCATTTGTACCACCGGCGCCACCGTGTCGGTACTCATGGTCGAATAGGATGTTATCCTGTAATAGATGCAACTTAGGCAACTTAAAATATTGTTGGCTTCTTCCCTATTCTTCGTGACCTAGGTCTTAGCACTACTGTCACCGTGGCTGCGTGGGAGCTTGGTGTGGCACGGCGTTCAGGTTTAAAGAAACCCACCCCCTAATTAATGATGATAGGCCCCTATAGGGCTGTATCGGTCGTACTCGCATCCTTCTGCTGATCGTCACTAATCTACTAGCGACATAGCGACATCCATAGCGACACCAGATAAGTGTCATGGATATTTTTGACACTCTCACATTCTATCAATACTGACCCAGATCGTATTCCCATCACCGCTACCGGGCGCTATGAATTTTCAGAAAAAACAGGCCGGCGCTGGAACTTTCGATTAATAATTTTTTTTTCTGTTCACGAGCTCGTTCCCGATTGATGGTCCCTCATGTAGCGTGGAAGATCGGTGAAATTTGATCTAGAATCCAGGAGAATCACCTGACTGTAGCCGGAGACCGAGGGAAAAGTGCGAAAAAGTGCCCTTCTTCTGGCACCACTAACAAGGTAAGCGCCGCAGATCCATTCTGACCTATCACATGCGCGAGGGAGCAAAAGCTCCGGTTCTTTACAGAGCAAGTAGCTATGCCTGCCCCCATTTACCTAAAGCTGAGTGCTGGATTAGACAGCACAAAAATTAAAAAATTAAAGAGGTAGGCAGTCAATGTGAAATGTTAGAGCAAACAGAAATGAGAAGTCTCTTTCTTGTACAATTTCTCGGGGAGTTGTCCGTTAGTATCCCCGTGCCCTGCAATCGCCACAGCAAGTTTCATCAGCAGAACATCAGTGGTCAAATGTGCTTTTTGGGTCCGGCGGTGGCGATTCTAGCGGTCGTGTTACAGTACTCTTATGAGCGTGTGCTCCGGCCTATATCAGACTCGAAAGCCACACCCACATCTACTAAGCCACGTTTATACGGATGGTATGCCAAATCAACAGTTGTCGTCGACACTTTTGTCCTTCCAGGGACGATTCCATAATATCGTGTTCTTTGCAATTCAGAGCAAAGAGCCATCCTGCAACTTTAATGTGCACTGAGCACGCCGCGGAATGCCCTGTTTGCGGGAAGCAATATCTCATCTATGTTGAGTTCTGCAAAAATTACCATCCTCCGCTCCTACGCTGCCCTAGGGGAATAACCGAGAAGACTGAAGACATGCAAGAGGGAAGATGCCCCAGTCCAGTTTGTCCTTTCAGTCGCACGGGGGGTTGTGTTGTCAGTTAACCCGGAAAGGGGATTGCCCCCGCGACAATACGAAAATTCCAATCCGAGCGATTTCCATACGACCGAATGTCAGTCATCATAGCTTCTCTCCTCCAGTACCAACCTCGACAATCTGGTCAATTCCTTGGTACTCGGGGACCTCGAAGTCATACTTCTTGGCGATTGCCGGGGAGACAAAGCTACCGGTACGTCAGCCGCTAGACGGTTCTTCGAATTCACGACGAGACACTCACCGGCCGCCTATAAAATGACGGCCTTTGAAGTACTTGACCAAGGGCTTGGGAGCTGTCAGGCTGATCAAATAGTCAGGGTTAAATTTGCTTCCTAAGCCAGACTCAGGTGGTCCAGTTTCAATGTTCCAAGAGGACGGTGCATCAACTGATGTCACGGGAAGTTTGGTGTCCTCCAAAGCGCGGATCACAGCTGGGAAGGGCTCACGAACTTCTCCCGAGAAGCTAAAGCC